GCGCCGCTGCCCGCTGACCCCGCCTCTTTCAGGTACGTGCGGGACCTGAGCAGCGGCACGGAGGGCTGGGTGCCGGCCAGCAGCCTGTCGGCTCTGCTGGGCACGTCCAGCTCGGCGCAGTGTCTGAGCAGCTCAGGTAAGGCCCTCCGTGCAGGCGGGCGGCGCCCGAGTCCGCCGCGGCGCGGCCCCAGCCCGTCTGACGCGCGGCTGCGGAGGGCCGCCGCCGCACCGAGTCTCCCCGGTTTCCCCGCAGAGTCGAGCCCAGGGTCGGCCGTGCTGAGCAACTCCTCGAGCTGCAGCGAGGGCTGCCCGGCGCCCTTCTCCGACCTCCAGGGCTAGGACAGCCTCTGCCCTGCGCCCGCGCAGACCCGCGTGCAGTCTCTGGTCGTCTTTTGCTTGGGCTTGCGTAGTTTGGGGAGGGGACGGCGCTCCAAGGTAGCCAAACACAGGAGGACCCCAGTGCACCCGCCGGCCGCAGAGGGACACGGGCCTCAGCAGCCGGCCCCCGGGGGCAGAAGCCAGCTCCCAGGACCAGGCCCCAGGGCCACTGCAAGGTGCAGAGAGGACAGGGGAGGGGCCTGGGGACAGCCCCTCACCCGCGCGCCGGCCGCCCTCCTCGGTGCGGGCGCCTCCGACGCCTGGTCTGGTGCTTGCTGTGGGAATGTCCCGGTGGGAGCCGCCTCGGAAAGCAGCCGGAGAGAGGGGCCTGGGGAACTCTTGTCTTTTATAAGTTTCTGATTTTTTAAAAACAGGGATTAATCCCGTGGCCATTTTTTTGTGGTACTTTGGCCTCAAATCTTTACCAAGAATCACTGTGTTTACATGAAATGATAATTTGATACTGTATTTGATATAAAACTATTTTTTTGTTACTGGGGTTTACATCAAAGCTCGTTGTCTATATCACTAAATGATTTGGGCACTCTCTGAAATGCCGGCACCCCTTGAAGCACACCTGGTCACAGGTGAGACAGCACACATGGATAAAATCAGGTGGAGTCTCACAACCAAAAGCAGTAAGAAACCAGGTCCTTCTACATGCATCGGCCTCATTTCATAAGAAAATTTAAACTCTGATTCAAAATATTAACCTTCTTTTCTACAAAATAAGGGGACTCTCAATTTTTTAAAGAGCTTCACTGAATTAGTGTATTTTTGTTGTTTTTAAAGACAGTGTAGAGGTGCAGTTTCTGTGGGGTCTCTGGGCTCCCTGTCCACCGTGCTGAGTGAACAGGTGTGCTGGCGCCTCAGGCAGGACCAAGTCCTTCTCTGGCACCACCTACCTGGCCTTGCAGGAAAGTCCGCAGGTGTGGTTAGGGTCACCTTGAGTGCTGTGTGCAGGGGTCTCCTGTGTTCAAATCATGGCAGAACTGGAACCAAAACCCTTCTGCTTTTCAAACCCTTTTTGTGTTTCAGAAACAAATCTGTCCTCTTGAGACTTCCTGGAGGGCAGGTGTGGTAGGTGTGTGTGTGTGTGTACATACGATCTGGATGTAAAGGCGTATTTATGGTCTCATGCTGCTGAACATGTGTCACTTTATAGTCCTCCCTGTCTCCTTGCCCTGCTGCCGTGGGGGCTGCCGCCCCGCTGTGGCCAAGGCGAAGCGCCCTCCCCACCCTGCGGTGCGTGGAGCCCTTGCTGGCCAACCTCCAGAGGAGGGGATCAAGCACGAGGCCTGTGAAGACCCGCAGCGCTTCTCCTGGTGCACACTTGGAAACGGAGTGTGGTCCGCCTCATCTCCAGTCCAGACGCGGCTCCTTCTGTCTCAACCTGGGCTGGCCCTCTCTGTGATCTCTCCCTCATGAAGGCACTTTAAAACGTCATGTTTCATTGACTGTTACTTTTCCTTTAACTGCTGATGTAAATGAAAGTTAAAAATCAGAGCTCTTTATTGTATGGATGAAGTTTGAATAAACGTCAGAAACCCCTGCTCTCGGCCTGCTCTCTGAACGTGGAGCCCCATGATGGTGTGGGGCCTGCACAGCCAGGCAACAGAGGCTGGCGGCGGGCAGGACCCAGGGAGCGCAGGACCCAGGGAGCGCAGGCCTTGAAGCTTGGGTGCTTCACCCCGTCCAGCTGTGGTGATGATAAGTAGTACTGGGTGTACACGTCAAAACGTGAAGGTGACCCGAGAGTACCTTGACAGAATGACACCCCACATCTTCAAACCAAAGTGGCGGAGAGTGCAGGAAGGTCATGGGCCCAAGAGAGGAAGGGAACACAGTGAACAGAAAACATGAAATGGGATCTAGAGAGGCCCAACCCACAGAAGGTGGGAGGAAGGTGCTGACCTACACAGGAGGCGGACTTACAGGAAGAGCCCTGAACCGGATAGGCAGGTAACTGATGAAGGATCCCTGGAATAAAAATATGCCAAGATCGAAAATAAAAGAAAGCAAGAAGACCAGGAAAATACGGAGCAGAGGAAGCAGCATAACAATGCTGAGGACACAGCCATGGAAATAGGGCACTTAGAGTACAAGGAACAGTGTGCAAACACCTAAGCAAACAATAATAAGCCCAAAACACAGAAAGCAAGCCTTGGCAGGCAGGGAGAGATGCTACTTCCTCCTGTAAAGACTGTTAACTGTCCTTAAAAATAGAAAAGGCAGTGCCGTGTTTCAGCAGGCATGGTACATTCTCCAAGTGCCTACAGACCAATGAAAAGACTGTGGGTAGGGTGATCATTTACAGCAATTTGATTTCTTTGTTATTCTTTCATTAACTCAAGTATTTTATTTCTTCTGGGCCAATTTTAACAATTCGGCTTTTAAACGTTTGTTTTGAAAACATTTGGGGGTCTGAACGCTATTAGAATAGACAAATAACTGCTAAAGGAGACCCTGAAACATTTGCTATTGAACATTTGTTTAGAAGAATTTGGGAATGTAAAAGTATGTTTCCAAGACCTGGATTAGAAAGGCCACATCATGGGGATCTGGTCCCTAGAGCTGGACAGGTGTCCACGTGTTGGCCAGGGTCTGAGGGCTGCAGCTGAGGCACAGCTGAGATTGGTTTTACAGCCAACTGCATCTAAGCTTTACGTGACACAATTAACGAGTTACCCATTTGAGGAAACTGAAAAGTAGGTCCAGCAAACTCATCAGAAGTGTGAAAAGGAAAGGAGAAAAACAACAAAACCCAAACAGACCAAAGCCAAAGTCTTGTCCCCAAAAAACCTCACAAGACGGACCCATTGGTCCACAAGGAATAACAGCTTTTAATTGAGAGAACCATAGGAACAAGTTCCTACTAATACGTCTGGGAAACAGATAAAATAGGAGACTTCTTTTTAAAAAGCTACATTGTTAAAAATTAGTCCAGAAGAAATAAAATGCTTGGGTTGATGAATGAATAACAAAGAAATTAAATTGGAGTTGGAAAAAACTCCAGATTGTACCAGACCAGGTGGTTTTCTAGGCATATAAAGATATTTACACAAACTGGTTCAAACAAAAAATATAAATATTCCTGAAGCAAGTTTTTCCTTGGTACACAAAGACAGATATTATGTAAGAAAAACATGAAATTATGAAGATGAATACAAAACTTCCAGAATCCCAGCAGTATGTTACAAATATAAGTCCCAGGAGCTGGGGTACGGCTTGGTGGTAGGTGTGCCTGCCCTGCTCCCCGCTAGAGGCCGGGCTCCAACCCCAGCGCCACCCTGCACAGGCACAGATGACACTTACCCAAGCAGGGGTGTCCACAAGGCACAGATGTGCGATGGCAGAAACATGGGGCTCTCAAAAAGTTGGCTTTAACACACTGAAGGAGAACCTGGCCAGGTGCAGGGGTGCAGGACACGGTTTTTACTGAGCAGTAATGTTAGGCTACACAAGGGATAGAAGGGAATTTCCCTAATCTAATAAAGTGTATCCAACAATCTTCACCTCCAAACTCTATGTCCCAAAATCCTTCAGAATCATCCCCACTGAGGGCAAAACACAGGGAAGCCCTCCGCTGCTCGCGGTCCTTCACGGGGAACACGGGATTGCAACAGGAAAAGGAAGTGAGGCGTGGGGGTGGAGAGGAACTAGAAAACCCGGGAGAACCCAGAAGCTGTTAGAACTGCCGAGTCTCCAAGGTTGACCCCCAGAGACATTCCTAGCAGTAACAAACCGAAAACAGTCGCTATGTCAACAGCAACCAAGTGATGAAACTTGTGGACAAAACACAACATGCCCTAGGCCAGGAGAGAACGCCTAGGGAAGTGGAGAGGTGCTTATGGAGGGGGCATCCGACGTCACCAAAATGTCAATTCTCCTCCAAATTAGCCTGCAAACTTAAGGTACTTCTGTCAGAACTCCAGCAGCGCAGTCTTTGTAGAATGAGAAAACTAGCCATAAGGCACGTGGCAGAAGACAGATCCCAGTGGAGCCCGGACGGCTCTGGGCATGGGCCAGGGGCCAGGGGCCGAGCTTGCCAGCCTGTCCTCTAGGTGGAGTAGGGAGGCAGCTCAGCCACCGCAGGCGCGGAGAGCGCAATCCTGAGCAGGCTACAACAGGCAGCCTCCCTGTGGCTGTCCCAGCACGGGCTCCTGAGGACCCAAGAGTGGAGGTTTCCACCTGGACCCTCAGGGTCTTGTCTGCTTGGTCTCCCTTCCACATCGGACCCACGGCACAGGACCCTATGACTGGTCTCGCACACAGGGGACAGGCCCAGGGCTGCTGTTCCACTCCTCCCGTGGACCCCCACTCCTTTGTGCCTAGGTGCCTTTTTGTCCATCTTTTAAAGTGTAGCTTTTGTGTCTTTAAATAAATCGCTCCTATCTCAAGGCAATCAGAGCCTGATAATCTGCCTGTTTTTCAAGTTCATGAAGGATCTGATCCTATGCCCAGCCCCACAAATCTGCCAGGGAAAGGAGGGGTTGAGTTTGAGCTGGACAGTTCGTGCGTTTTATCCCAAATGAGCAGCTGCTCTGAGGGCTGAGATGACCACAGGTGCAGGGAGGACATGGTCAAGTCAGGGCCGACCCAAGGGAAGTCCAGCTCTGAAGGAGCATCAGCAGGAACCCATCTCTGAAAGGACTTTTGCCCTCAGCCCAGGCCCACTGGACACCAGGAGGCATGGGTGACCTTAGATCTTGGAACTGCTGGAACAGCCAGCTTTATCCCAGGAAGTCCCTCATCCTCAGAAATCTGGCTGGTGGCTGGGCTGGGGAGTGTGAGGAGGTGTGGCGTCCCAGCCAGGGTGCCCTCTGCAGCAGAGACAGGCTTGGTGCCGGGCAGAGCAGCTTCTCGCCCTCTGAGAGGCCTGGGCCTCCCCGGCCCCTCTCCAAGTCCTCTGTCCTCACCCAAGGCCTGCTCCTCTCAGCACTGCGACACAGCGTAGTTTTCACTTACTGTCCCGGGTCCGAGGGCCTTGAATTCTGCAGTGCCCCTGGGGCGCCCCTGCCAGACGCAGGCCTGAACTCCACTTCTGCCAGGAACCAGGGCTTTCCCCAGCACCCTGTCCTCTCCCCCTGCTGGGCACCAGGGCTTCCGCTCCTGGCCTGGGGTTCAGGCGCCCTTGCCCTCCCCTCCTCCGCCCAGCTCCTGCCCTTTGCCCCCTGTCCCCTCTGGACGTCCACAGCAGGGAGCCGCTGAGCTCATCATGGCTTCCCACGGGCTCACCCTCCTCTGCTTTCTGCTCGGACTTCAGGGATCCCTGGCTGCAGGTATGTCCTCTTGGGAGGGCTTTCCCAGGAGAGAGGTGCAGGCCTTTACAGCAAGTCCTGAGGGCTGGGCCCAGGCCACCCAAGCCTTGCCTCTGCTCTGGACAGGCGTCTGCCGGCCACTGGTAACACTGCCAAAAAGCAAGTGTCCAAGTGCCCAGGGTGCACGGAGGAGCAGCTACTCAGTCTGCCTCCCTCCCTCCCTCCCTCCCTCCCTCCCTCTCCTTCTCTCCCTCCCTCCCTCTCCCTCTGCCTCCCTCTCTTCCTCCTTCTCTCCCTTCCTCCCTCTCCTTCTCTCCCTCTCTCTCCGTCTCCCTCTCTTCCTCCTTCTCTCCCTCCCTCCCTCTCTTCCTCCTTCTTTCCCTCCCTCCCTCTCTTCCTCCTTCTCTCCCTCCCTCCCTCTCCCTCTGCCTCCCTCTCTTCCTCCTTCTCTCCCTCCCTCCCTCTCCCTCCCTCCCTCTCCCTCCCTCTCCCTCTCTTCCTCTTTCTCTCCCTCCCTGTCTGTGAGATCAGGGTTGAACCCAGGGGCCCTCTACAACTGTCCAACATCACCAGCCCTTTTTAAAATGTTTTATTTTGATACTGGCCTCACTAAATCATCCAGGCTGACCTTGAACTTGTGATCCTCCTGCCTGGCCTCTCAAGTCGCTGGGATGGCAGGTGTGCGCCACAGGGCAGACTTGGCTGGTCATTTTTCAAGAAACTTTTAGGAGCAGGGTGCTCTCCTGGGTGCTCGTGGGTCCTGCCTGTGAAGCTGGACAAGCGGAGAGGGGTTGCTCAGAGCAGAGCTCCTGGGTCCCGGGTAGGATGCATCTGTGGGGCGCTGGAGCAGGGTGGCCTGCCACCACAGCCCACACGGGCGGGCGCTGAGGCCTCAGGGGAGAAAGCCTCGGATGCGTGGCAAGCTGGGGCACCTTGTGTCTGCTGCTCCCGCTTCTTCCCCAGCTGCCCCTGTTCCCTGGCCTCGCTCTTCCCACACCAGCCACCGGCACTTCCTCTCACTCTTCCCGCATCCACTGGTGTCCCAGAGAAGCCTCAAACTCAGCGCAAGCCTCACTGCTGGGATCACCTGCACCCTGGTGAGGGTGACTCTGCCTCGACACCCCTCCTTCCTCCCCGTCAGGAGAGAGGTGCAGGCCTTTACAGCCTGCCCTGAGGCCTGGGCCCAGGCCACCTAAGCCACCCACCCACCTCCTAGAAGCTGCTGGGGTCTCTGGGAGAATCAGGAAGGGGCGTGGGAGGCCCGGGGAGGGCAAAGGTCTGCAGCTGAGGTGCAGCACAGAGGCCAGGAAGGCCCAGTGTGAGGCAGGCACCCAGCCTCGGGGAGCTGGCACAGGGGGTCAGGACGCCCAGGGCTGTGTGGCTTGGGAGGTGCCTCGGGCCTACACCAAACCTATCTCTGCTGCAAATGGCACCCTGTGCTGAAACGGCCCACACCTTCCCCACACTTCCCCAGCCCAGCCACAGGGACGTGGACCGTCTGTCACCTGTGAGAAGCCCAGCAGGACTCGCGCATGCCCGTCACACTCGGGATACTTCCGTGTACCCCGAGGGGCGAGGGCAGGACGTGCTATGTTACCATCTTTCCCCTCAGGGTCACGTCTTCCTAAGCACAGTGTGACCGCAGCACTGGGTGCCCGGGTGTGGCCTTCAGACTCGGTACGCCCAGTCCCCACAGCTCAGGCTTCCACAAGACTGAGCGTTTCCTTAAGATAAAGTCCTAACTGTGGGCATTCAGGTTCAACAGGGAGGGTGTGTGAGAGTGGCTTCCATGAACACGGTGCCATGTGGCCGTCCCCAGCCCTCAGGAGAAGCCCACCCACCTCAGACCCCCCCCCCGGCCTGGGTGCGTGGCTCTCTGTAGGGAAGCCCTCAGGACAGCAGGACCTCGGCAGTGTGGCGGTCCTGTTGCTGGAGGGTTGGGGGCGGCCGTGCTCACGGGCTCCCTCTCAGTCTTCGTGACCCAGGAGGAAGCGCACAGTGTCCTCCACAGGCAGCGGCGTGCCAACTCCCTCCTGGAGGAGCTGCGGCCAGGCTCCCTGGAGAGGGAGTGCAAGGAGGAGCAGTGCTCCTTCGAGGAAGCCCGCGAGATCTTCAAGAGCCTGGAGAGGACGGTGAGTGTGGGCCCGGCCCAGGAGGCCTCAGAGGCCGCAGAGGGAGTGAGCTGGGCTCTGGGGGCTCCAGCCAGGTGACCGCACAGGGCCCCGGCCTGCGCAGCCCTCGCCACGGGGGCCTCTGCCCTCCAAGACAGCTTCAGCTCCTCTGCAAGGTTCCCCACCTCTCCCTGGGCCCAGGAGCCCTCCAGCACACCGTGTCCCTGCTCTCTGCCCCACCACGCAGACACATCTGTACATGGGAACGTGTCATTCGGAAGGCACATTGCATGGGTCCCTTGGCTGCCCCAGGAAGTTGGCCGGGACCCAGGGCTGCCCATGCATCTCAGCACCACTGACAGACACAGTGAGAGGCTGGCCCGGTGGCCCTCTGCCCCAGGACCTCCCAGGGAACAGGTGTGAAGAACCTGGAGGTGTCCTGACCGCCTCCAACACGCTTGGCCGCCAAGGGCTGTCTCACTCCTGGTGTCAGGCATGGAGATGCGTGGACAGGCAGGCTGGCCACCTGCCCTCCATTCAAACTCTCCCCTTTGAATATTTTCGCCAAGAGTGGAAGTGGAGATATGATGGGCAGACTAGGACTCGGGGTGATTCCAGCTTATCGCTATAGCGACATCTCAGGAAGATGGGAGCCACAGGAATCCTGGGTCCCCAGAGGAATCCCAGGGCCCCCGAGACCCCAGGCCCTCAGCTCACTCTACATGAGGTTTTCAAACCAGCTAACTCAGGTCAACACACTCCCAGGGCACCGCACACCCACCGAAGCCTCACACTCGCAGGCCGCGCACCCTGTCACACCACGCCCTCCGGACACCCACGGCCCTCCCCCCCCCCCCCCACACCTCACACTCACCTGGAAGTCTCCTGTCCTAGCTGAGGCCAGCTGCCCCTCCGGGCGAAGGGGTCTGTGCCTTCACGCGGAGTGCTTCAGGCCCCCACCTGTCCCCCCACCTGTCCCCCCACCGCACCCTCTGACCTTAGCTTCAGCTGGACAAAAGTTCTCCAGGAGCTGCTTTTCACCCACCAAGCGCTTGGCCGTTCCTGGAAGTCCTCTACCCACTCTGCCCCTCTGCTCATGTCACCCCCAGGGTGCACACTCACCTGTCTGCAGATGGAGGCCCCCAAACATGTGTCTGGTTCCAGGTCACAGATGGGGAGGCCAAGTTGGGACTGGACTCAAGTGTTCTGGCTTGGGAGAGAGGAACACGTGGCCTCCGCCAGAGCTCCATGTCAGGGAATAGAGAAAGTCCCCTCCAGAGGAGGCCACCTCCTCCACAGAGGGATGACCTCTTCCCAAGGGCCCCACAGAGGCCCAGGTCCACCCCCGCCCACGCTCCCCCCCCGAGGGTGCCGAGGTCGCGCTCTGGGTGTCTCCCTCTGGGTGTCTCCCTCTGGGTGCCTCACGGGCTCCTCCTGTTCCCCAGAGGCAGTTCTGGACTTCCTACAACGGTGAGCAGGCCACGCACCCTCTGCAGCCCACCCTGCAGCCCTTGTCTTCGGCCCACTAATGCCAGCTCACCCACAGATGGGGACCAGTGTGCCTCGAATCCATGCCAGAACGGGGGCTCCTGTGAGGACCAGCTCCAGTCCTACGTCTGCTTCTGCCTCCCCGACTTTGAGGGACGCAACTGTGAGACAAGTGAGGCCGGCCTCCTGCCCGGAGGTCGCAGACAGGGCCCTGGGCTGAGGGGAGGGGCCGGCGCAGAGTCTGTGCAGGGCTGGGGTCCACCTGGTCTCAGCCCCCGTGGGAAGTTCTAGGAGACACTGAAGGCCCCTTCCAAACTGAGAGGTCTAGGAGCCTGTGTCTCAGGATTCCATGTCCCCTTTGGAACCAGCCCTGGGAACTTCTGATAGGCCTCCGTCCCCAGAGGTGAGTCAGCTGGTGACAGTCACCTTCCCATTGCTGTTACAAAGGTCAGAGGTATTTTTTCAGCTGATAAATATGAAATCATTGCCAGGCTTGTAGCTCCCCCAGATCACATCAGGCTCGGCAGCCCCCCAGGTCACACTGAGCTCAGCCCCCCCCCAGGTCACACTGAGTTCAGCCCCCCCCCAGGTCACACTGAGCTCAGCCCCCCCCCAGGTCACACTGAGCTCAGCCCCCCCCCAGGTCACACTGAGCTCAGCAGACCCCCAGGTCACAGTGTGCCTGGGCACACACATGGAAAATGCACACAGCAAGGAAAACTGAGGGACGGTCCCCTCCTCTGTTGGGACCAAGGGTCCAGCTGGCTCGCCCGGGCTCAAGGGCCGCTCTGACCCTCTCACTGGGAAGGTCTCCATTCTGTGGACACTCTCACTGTCCCCAGAAAAGGTCCAGCTCTCCCCAGGCCCTCCTTAGCCTCCCACCAGCTGCCTGCAGAGCTGATGGTCCTGGAGCCACCCACACCCCCTGGCACCCCCTGAAGCCGCCTGCTTCTCCTTGGGCAAGGCTGCTCCAGGTCTTGTCCTTCCTGACCGCCCACAGGCTCTGTGCCCACACTGCACACCACCCTCCACGCAGCACGAGAACAGCGGCCACTGGAGCTGTCTCTCGCTGACCTTGCTAAGGCCCCTCTCAGGTTGTCCCCTCTGTCCCAGACAAGAACGCCCAACTCATCTGTGTGAACGAGAACGGCGGCTGTGAGCAATACTGCAGCGACCGCGAGGGGGACAAGCGCTCGTGCCGGTGCCACGAGGGGTACGCTCTGCAACCGGACGGAGTGTCCTGCATGCCCACAGGTACCAGGCCAGGGGCTGTGGCTGCCCATGCCAGGGAGCCAGGCACCAACCCTGGCCTACCAAGAGGTGACATGGCCTGATGTACACTGGGCTCCCACTAGGTGCCAACCACCTCTAAGGGCCCAGGCCAGAGAGGCTGCCCCACCCGAGGGCAGGCCAGTGCCATGGAGCCCAGCACAGGACCCGGGCAGCTCACCACATGGTCCTGGGCCCCTGACCGTGGCAGACGGGCCAGGGAGCCTAACAAAGCCTTGTCCCACCTGTAACACCCCCTTGTGGGGCCTCCACGGGGTTCCTGGACGCGAGTGACAGTGTCTGTACCCACTGCTGCACAATTCTGGACAACAAAACTTCCCAAAGGCATGTGCTTGTAGGAAAATGGGAATTTCCTCCAAATGAAGCTCAGGCTGATGGACTGCCATGCTCAAGTGGGGGCACCCAAACCCCGAGGCTGGCAGGCCTGGACGGGGCAGGACCTTCTCATACAGGCAGAGACAGACAAGCGGGGTCCCAGGACACGCTTGCACTGTGGTTCATCTCCAGACAGAACCCCTTCACCTGGGTGAAGCTCTGCCCCTGCGAAAGGCACACTGGACCCAGTTCCAGGAAGCAGGGCCTCTGCCCATCTCCACGGCAGGCCGCTTCCCCAGTCCCGCAGCAGCCCCTGAGCCTGAAGAGAAGCCCCAGCAGGAGCCTCGGTGGAGTGGCTTCACGTCCCCGGGGTTCAAGTGCTCTCAGCCCCTACTCGAGCACCTCCATCCCTCCTAAACGGCCACCTCTCCGGCTTTTGTTTTATGTAGCTGAATACCCATGTGGGAAAATACCTATTTTGGAAAAAAAGAATGCCAGCAACCCCCAAGGCCGAATTGTGGGGGGCAGGGTGTGCCCCAAAGGGGAGTGTCCATGGCAGGTAAGACATCCTAGGCCCACACAGACCTGGTCTCCAGCCCCGCTTCCCCACCCCAGGGCACACGGGCTCTTGGTGGGAGCTCACTGGCCCCACGACTGAAGGGGCCCAGCCTGCCCAGCCAGCCGAGCAGGGCGGGAAGGGGAGCGAGGCAGCCCTGAGGCTACTGCAGAGGACTGTGCGAGGTGCTCCCCAGCTCGGGTCACCTGTCACCTGAGGTCTGCAGGTGCACAGCAGAAGCCCACCCTGATGTCCTCGGCCAGTACCTGGGGGACTCTGTCAGAGTCAGGCCCACACCATTTTGCTGGGGAGGGATGGTGGCGGCCCCAGGTTTCAGGTGGGGGTCCACTCAGTCCAGTGCACCCTCTGGGCTCGGGGAAAGCCAGTGGACAGGAGGGCCATGGCAACCATGTGACCTCCTGCCCAGGCCGTGCTGTTGCTGAACAGGGCGCTGCTCTGTGGGGGCACCCTGCTGGACCCTAGCTGGGTGGTGTCCGCAGCCCACTGCTTTGACAAGATCCGGAGCTGGAGGAACCTGTCCGTGGTGCTGGGTGGGTACTGCCCCGCTGCGGTCCTGAGGGAACTTCTCTAATGACCCCAGCTCAGCTGTTGAGGCTGCAAGCTCCCCACTCCCCCAACCCCCTGATCAGACGCCTGTGCGAAGGGCAGCCCTGGCAGGACCACTTGGCCACCATCCTGGTGAGCAGAGGCCAGGCAGGCGCAGGAGGCACTGAGGACGGAGACCTCGGCTCGGAGGCTCTCTGGGAAAGTGGGACCTTCTCATCCGCCCAGTTGTGGGGGGGTCCCCCACTTCCTCCTTAGGTGCCCTTGACCCTAGGTTCCAGATTCACCTGTCCACACCTTTCCACACGCCGTCTCTGGGGAGGCTCTGTGGATGACCCTGAATGCAAAGCCCCCAGGCCCAGAGGAGGCTCAGGTGCCCGGGTGCAGAATGGCCACACCCCCACCCACGGGCTCCTGACCAGAGGGTGAGGTGAGCGAGAGCTCGGGGTGTCCAGGCCTGATGTGGGAAAGCTGTGGCTTCCCCACAGGCGAGCATGACCTCAGTGAGGACGACGGGGACGAGCAGGCCCGGTGGGTGGTGCAGGTCATCATTCCCGACAAGTACATCCTGGGCAAAACTGACCATGACATCGCACTGCTCCGCCTGCACCAGCCCGTGACCCTCACTGACCACGTGGTGCCCCTCTGTCTGCCGGAGAGGGCCTTCTCCGAGAACACGCTGGCCAGCATCCGCTTCTCGTGGGTCAGCGGCTGGGGCCAGCTGCTGGACCGTGGTGCCACGGCCCTGGAGCTCATGGCCATCGAGGTGCCCAGGCTGATGACCCAGGACTGCCTGGAGCAATCCCAGCAGAGGCCGGACTCCCCCGTGGTCACAGAGAACATGTTCTGTGCCGGCTACCTGGACGGCAGCAAGGACGCCTGCAAGGGGGACAGCGGGGGCCCCCACGCCACACGCTACAGAGGCACGTGGTACCTGACGGGTGTGGTCAGCTGGGGAGAGGGCTGCGCTGCCGCCGGCCACGTCGGGGTGTACACCCGGGTCTCCCAATACACGGAGTGGCTCCACAGGCTCATGGACTCCAAGCCCCAGCTGGGCATCCTGCGGCGAGCCCCATTCCCCTAGCTCCTGGGGAAGCCCAGCCCTGCCCTGGGGACACTGCTGCCACTGGCACTGTGTGGAGCTGCCCTGCATCAAGTCCCACCCTCCCCACGCTCTTGGTGCCAGGGAGAGAAAGGCACCCAGAGAGCGAGGGACAGTCAGGAGAGGCCGGTGGCCAGCCCAGGGTGCCGGGCAGTCCTGAAGGAGGGCTGCAGAAGACCTGGCCGCCCCGCCTGGCCCCCCAGCACCCCGTCTGTGCGTGCCCTGCCTCTGAGACTGCACGGCTGTGTACACATGGGTACACACGGTGGGGCGGGGGCCGCTCTGAGGGCTGTGGCTCACTTCTGCCTTTCTGTGTCGGTGTCTCACCCTCTTTCCATTAAACGCGAAGCACCTCGGGCTGGCACAGCTTCCCTGGGCGTGTTCTAGCATAAAGTGCGTGTGTGTGCAGCACAGGTGCACCTGCTTCCTGCCCACGGGCACACTGGCTCCACTCCTGCATCCCGTGGCTGTCTGGGCAGGTCGCAGAGACCCTTGGTGTCCGGTGGCCTCTTCTTCCACGTTTCAGCATCACAGAGAGGAGCGCTCCCCATGGAGGTGGTCGAGAAGAACGAGTGCTCTGATGTGAGGCTGCCTCCCCGCACACAGGTGCCCGGCCCTGCCAGCCTGTGTTCTCAGAGGCCAGGGAGCGCTGGCCCACAAAGCACCAGAGAGTTGACAGATGCAGGTTCTCAGGTCCTGCCCTGACCACCTGGCTCAGGGGGATGGAGCCAGCAAGTTCCACTCCTGCTACCCCAGGGCCAGTGAGCCTCAGGCCACGGGTGGCCTTGACGGGGAGAATAGGAACCAACCAACAGGGAGACAGGGGGCTGGCCAGCTGGCCCCCTTGAGCCCAGGTGAGGGTGGCTGACCCCAGACATGACCGGCACCCACCTGCGTGGGGCTACCTCTCCACCTCCCGTAGAGCACAGCGCCAGTAATGGTAGTGTCTTGCGGCATTGGTTCAGAGTGGGCCAGGGGTGCCCAGTCCGCCGTGGCCTGGGCTACGCCTGCCAGCTGTGTTTCTCAACAGCTGTATTCAGATGCACATCATTGATGGTCCATGGAGAGGCTAGGACAAAGGCCATCCAGCCAAAGGGGACCTGACCCACAAAGCCAGATGTATTTGGTGTCAGGACCTCTGCAGGAAAGATCTGCTGGCCCAGGCCAGGCTAACTCCTGACAATCCCCCAAGCCATGAGCCGACCTTGGGAGCAGCATCCGGCCAGAGGTCCTGGATCCGAGGTCCACTGAGCCTCTGCTCTCGGCATGGTCACTGTCTTCTGTGAACCAGGAGCCCACCTGCAAGCCTGTCCCGAGGACAGGATCAGTCCAGGAAGAACAGGCACTGAAGGCACACTGCCGGACGTCTCCTGTGTCTTCCAGGCTCAGCCGTTCTGCAACCAAATGGTCAGGGTCTCAGCCTGGTGCGGCCGCAGAAACTGCTGAGGCCCCTCGAAAGTGAACACTGGCAGGACCCCTCCTCCTAGGAAGAAGGGGACCATAGGCCAGGACCCTGGCCAGGAGCCCACCCAGACCTGTGCAAGGGAGAGACAGGGAGGTCACTGGATGCTGAGTGGAGCCCTGGCCCAGCCTCAGTTTCCCAAACCTCAGGCTCAATGCAGGCCCCACCTCATAGGCTGCCATGCACGGGCACTGCTGAGCCCGAAGACCAGACGCTCAGTGGGCCCTGCTCGCTTGTACCCTGGTTTCTGAGGGTGGGCCTGGGAGAGGGGGGACACAGGAGGAGCTCCCAGAGCCAGTGTCACTGCTCGGTCCCACTCCCAGAGTACGGGTCAGCCCCGAGCGTCCCACCGCCCGTTCACAGAACCGGGTCTCCACACTCTTGCGAAGCCGAGGCAGCACCCAGCGGGGCAGCAGCCAGGCACTGCTGCTGCCAGCTCCACTGTCCTTCCCAGGGCCAGGTGCTGGTGCAGCCCGGTGTGTGGCAGTGACCACTCAGCCAGACTCCGGCTCCCAGCCTCGGCACCAGCATTGTCTGTCCATCCCACGAGGTGGTGTTCACAGGACCTGGAGGCAGAGTGAGGAGCCAGACAGAACCCCCTTGCCTGCAAGGCTACGTGCCAATGGCCCCGCACAGGAGTGACCGCTGACCAGGCACGAGTGCTGCAGCAGTTAGGAGCCTCACTCCTGCCCATCCTCTGCGATCACAGAGCACCCGCGGGGCACAGACTCTGATGAGGATGAGGTCATCTCTGGCCTCCCCAGCAGTTTGCTCTTCCTCTGGCAGGTGGGGACTGGGTGACCATGGTCCCCACAAGCCCAGTGTTGCTCTTTCTTCCAGGAGGCTGGAGAGCAGAATCTCAGCTGTGCCTCTGGCTCCTCATCTGGCCATTGAGTACAGAAACACCTGGGCCTGATGCTATGAGGAAGTTTCTGGGATCAGGAGCAGCCCTGCCCTGGCCTGGGCCCCATTCCACGCACACACTCCCAGCAGCTCCCAGGGACCGGCCAGGGAGCTGAGCTGCTTCCTCTGTCACAGACCTGAACACCCTTGCCTTCCCCACCCCAATCCCAGGGTCACTCTGTGCAGAAGCTACTTCTAGGACCTAAATGGATACGAATGAAACCAAGATGAGGTCATAATTATTCTCCAGAGGTGACCAGTACCAAACAAGTGTGCAGGGCCCTCGACCTCCACCCTGGACCTGCTGTGAAGTCAGCAAGGCCCAACAGGGCAGGCCAGCTTCTCTTCCCGTTGGCCCTCTTGGACACCATGTGAGTGAGGAACAAACTGTGTCAACCCAATGCCATTTCAGGGTCACTTGTCCTCTGATAGCCACATGGTGACAACGTGCAGTCTTGTCCAGGGAACACTGGTCCCCCAAACCTGACCCACACCTGGGGGCCTGCCTGAGCCAGCCAGGGGCCCCTAGAGCCTGGGGGAAAATCCCACTCCACCCGAGGGCCATGACAGGCCTCTCCTCTATCTCCAACTGGGTTTCTGTTCTGGAAAATGATCAGAAAACTATCCTGTTGCCAAGGGGGTGAAGAGTAAGTAAGAGACATGCGCATCGGAATCCACAAAAGGGACACAAACGAGGTCCTCTCCTCTCCTGAAACCAGGAATGGATGCAGCCAGCCCTGCTGGGCCCTGTTTCCAATGATGACAAGGTTGGCCGTGGCCTCTGCAGCCACCCACTTGCCTGGGGAAGGCAGGGGCCAGTGACCACAGGCCCAGTCTCCTGCCCTGCCCTCTCCACAGCCTGAGCTCCAATCAGGAGGCCAAGATAAGCAGAAGGACAATAGCCACCTGGGGCCAGGCTGAATGAACTTTGACCCGGCACCCATCACAGCAGGGACGAAGCCACTGTCTTTGGCCACACCATGGGGAGCCTGCTGCACCTCGGCCTGCTCAGCGCCATCCTGGCCAGCCTCCTGGTGCCTGGGAGAAGCGGTGAGTGCCCTGCCCTTTGCGCTGCAGGATGGCCCCTGGAGGAGGGGAGGGCCGAGGGTAGGCAGTGGGGGAATGTGCACAGGGTGCTCTGGCCCGGCACAGGCTGGCTGACCTTCCCAGCCAAGGGTACAGTTGGGGCCACTGCGGCTCCTGCCGGAGAGTCAGATGGGCAGATGGGGGGTCACGGGATTAAAAACACAAGAGGAGACAGAGAGAGAAGGGAGGGAGTGGAACAGCAGGACAAAGCAGAGGTGAGCAGAGACGGGCAGAGGTGAGGACACGCAGGGCAGAGGTGCTGTGGGGAGGCAGGCAAAGACAGTCCAGCCGCCACTCATGACTCCCACTGGGAGGGGGCGCCCAGGCCCCAGGCCCCAGAGGAGGCCTGAATTTAAAATGGAACAGGTCCAGCTCACAGGGTGCCAGCTGCGTCCAGCACAGCCACTAGGCTGAGCCACCTGCGTTTCCATGTCCACACTCGCAACAGTGGTCTGGTCCAGCTTTGGCCTGACTCAGAATGTGGCAGTAAGCCCTCCTAGGTACACCAACACCAAGAGACAGGCCCGTCCCAGGACTGCGGTGCCAGGCAGCTGGGAAAGCAAACCGCACAGTGGACCAGGCCGAGAAGCGGCCCCGTCTGGGCCTGGTGTGGACCCTCTAGTGACTCCTTTCAAACCACCAGCCTAGTTTCCCTCAATTCAGAAAGCAAGACCACTGGCCAGCACTGGGTCTGACCAAGAAAGAGTCAGAGTCCTCAGAGGGCCTAACTGCGTCCAGAGGGCTGGGCCAGAGGCTGGCCGTGCACTCCCGTACTCCCCACGCATCACCTCAGGCCGGGCGGTGGAGACTCAGCTACAACAAGGAAGACTGTCTTTTTGCACAAGGATGCATTCCAGTTGAGAGGGCAACAAACCTGCAGGCGTGTAGAATCAGACAGTGGTGCTGTTCAAAAAACAGCAGGGAAAGGGGTCGAAAGATGTGGATGGGGATAACTTTAGAGCCAGTGGTGAGGGATGGAGTGAGCCACATGGTATTCAGGGAAAGAATGCTCTACAGGGAAGGTGGCCAGTGCAAAGGCCCTGGGGCATGAGAGTGGTGGGCACAGTCTAAACAGGAAATGGGCCAGCATGGTGGGAGAGACGGGTGCAAGGGAGCCTTGAAGGGAGGAAATCCAAGAGGCCCAGCCGTGGGATCAAAGACCTCTGGTTCTAGCTCGAGGCCAGCAGGCAGCTGTGGCTCCTTCTTGGCTTCCTCAGGCATCATGCCCTCGCCCTGTGCCTTGCACTTCCTCCTCCCAGTTCAAGCTCCCAGGTACTACTGTACCTTCACCAAAAGGGAAGAGGCAGGAAGAGGTGTGGATCAGGTGGGGCCTGGTGGAACAGCCTGGGAAACTCAGGGAGGGGTCCAAGAAGGGCGTGGCTCCTGCAGGATGGTGAGCTGCTCCAAGGACCACAGGGACTGTTTCTTGAGCAGGCCTGTGAGCTATCGCTACAGCTCTGGCAATGCAGAGGGAAAACCAGCATATGTCCATTTGGCTTCAAGGAAGCAGGCTGCACAGAAAGGAGGAGGG